TTTTTTTTTTAATTTCGCACCATTATTGATCCAACGACTGTTCAACTGGTCATGCCAAATAATTGAATTTTCAGTTCAATAAAATATCTCAAATTTCAATAACTATTTAATCAAATAAAATACATAATTAATTCTCAAAAGCATGATTACCTATGATATATCATATAAAAATTAAACTTCATATGACATAAATTGTATGTTTTCCTTCATGAATAAACATGTAATTTGTTGTGTTTTTAGGAATGCAATGAAGTATAATTCTTCGAGATGTGTACTACTTCGAGAGCACGCTATATTTTATTATTACTTTTTTAACATCAATATGTCAATATTCTTCTAGAATATTAAAAATTATAATTCAAACTCTTCAAGAGCATTAAAATATTATTATAATAAATTATATAAGAATTTACTCTTCAGGAGTAAAAATATAATTTATGTTAGATCTTATATCATTATATTCTTCTAGGGCAATAAAATCTAACAAGAATATCAATATTTAAATACCTCTAAAGAAGAATTGACACATAAATAAATAGAGTAATTTAATTCGTAATTTTACATAGAACCAATCAATATAATTCAGGAATATTAAAATTATAATATCATGTTCTTTTGAAGCAATCAATATTCTTTTTTAAAATATTAATAGCGTTATGTTTTTTAAGGAACACCAACACAATTTTTTTTTATATTAAGTTGTGCATTCTTTAGAAGCACAATGAGACATATAATTTTCAAGAGTATAAATACAATATTGTTTTGGAATTCGAGAACATCGACATCATATTCATTTGAAATATATATAATTTAAATTATGCTTTTTCAGGAGCATTGAGTCAATATTTTTTTTGAAATATTGAAATTATAATATCATACTCCTCATAAGTAAGTAATATTCTTCTAGAATATTAATAATTTTGTAATGCTTCAGGAGCAACAACATTATACATTATCAATTTAAAATTTATGAAAAAATCTACAAATATTTAATCAAAATAAAGAATATTAATTACCATATAAATAAGATATGGATTTATGTATAAAAATTAATTACCAAACATAATTAGGAAAAAGAATATCCATATATAAAAGTTAACAAAATTAACTAAATCTTTTACTAGCTAAATCTTTTACCAATATGCAGAAGATATTAAATATCCATGTGAATTTCACATATATAAAAATTAAAGGTAGAACTAATATGTGGCAGATTAAAAAGATAGAATTAATACATGAATAATATGTAACAAAAATGATTGTGTATGAATGAAAAAGAATGAATTAATGTGTCCAGATTACACATACAAACGTGAATTAGAATTAATATGCATACCAACGAAAAACAGAGAAGAAGAAGCTCCATCGTTACGATGCATATGTACATCAAAATATTTCACATGCTACCAAATTAATTTTGGTACACGTAACAGATGATTGTACTTATAAAAATTATTACTTTCTAACTAATTTACTTTGTTTTTGAGAGATTCGTGCCGATAACGTGTTGTAAAAAAGAAGCAAAGAGAAGATAATAGAATAGAGAGAAGTCAATAAACTTATGTGTGTTTTTATTAAGGACTAAAACTCTATATTTACATATAAAAATTATGGATACAATGGTAATAATTTCTAGGGCTGTAAGGCTAAATATTCATTCATCGACAAACCCTAATAAACTTACCATTTACAACAATTATTTGATCTTCCTTGATTCTTTAGATATGTTTGGTTATAATAATGGCTTTTAAATTTTCATATGGAACTTTTTTTAAATTTTTATTAACATCCCCCATCCACCGTCAAATTTGGTTGGGAAAGAGAGTTTTTAGAAAGTATTAGCTATTCATTATATTAGCAAAATAATTTATCAGATGTAACATATTGTACCTTATCCAGTTAACCTTAAATTTAGTAGTGTACTATCGTCGTTGGTCTACTCTTTAACAAAATAATTTTGACAAAGTGTGTACTTTTATATTTTTTGTTTAGTGCGAGGTTAACACCATTATTTATATAAGTTAAGATATTGGTGTAATGATTGTTCACAAATATTGCAACTAATGCATTTCTATTACGGTATCTAGATGTTATATTGGGGTAGAGTTCATAATTAGTTTGCCTAATTCCATTTTGGGTCATGCGGGGCCAATCGAACTATCTTTTAATATAGACAAATATATAAAATAATAAAAAGGCTCAAGTAGGTCACGACTACATAGACAAGACTTGACACGATTTGTCTCTCCATATCGCATATACCATGTCAAGTAAGTTTAGTCGAACCAAATATGAATTACGTCGCACTCGAGCATTCGAAAAATGCATGTTCAGAAGTTATTTGGAGGCTGTAGCTAATTTCATTCGGGAGACTCCAAGCAATCTATTCATAGTGTCAATGCCAGTTGTCCAACATTATTTTTGTTAGAAGATGTGAGGTGTGAACGAAGAAATTGTCTTCATTATTGAAAGGAATCAAAAGAAAGAAGTTTTATCATTTAAATTAGATTAATTTTAAATATGGTTGTTATGTCTTTATTTTTAAAGACTTTAATATAAGAATTGTGTCTTTTTTTCTTTTTTTTCAATCGTCCTCGGTTTTCATGTTGCTACATTTAATAACTCTAGTTTTCATTCAAGATTTACATCCTTTTTGAAAGACCATGACTTTTGAATAAGCTACTCAAAATTGAACGTGCATTGCAAGTTATTCTAAAGTATTTTATAAGTGATGTAAAAGTAATATTTGGTACTAATTTATTAGAGGATTTGATGAGTTTCGGACGAATTAAAGAATACATAAAAATTAATTGTTAATACATAAATTTAAACATCTATTAAAATTTCTAGATACATGAATATGAATAAATTCATCTATAATAACTCTAGATTCATGTAATTCAAGATTCATCAATGAAAATTCATTGAATCGAGGTTAATGTGAATGTTAATTAATTGAGGATTAATAACAAAAATTTCATAAATAACAATAATAATGTAGTATTAATTACATATCGAAAAACGAAAAGTAAGGTGTTATTAAAATAATTGAATTGTAAAAGGGGTTAAAATCTTCCAAAAAAATGATTCTCCCTTGATGATGTCATTGCTCAAAGGCCTGTGACACGAAGGAAGGAAATTTTTCTTATAGACATTTTTAGAAATTCTAGGTTCGGATTCGAAATTTTTTTTACTGTAAGTTAATCTTAATTTTTGTTAATATGTTCGATTAAAATGCATGTTTTTCTGCATCATGGGCACATAGTCGTAGTTTGCACTAAGCTTTTCATAATAATTTATTAATTAATTTTTTATATTTAAAAATTTTTCATTTTTTAATTGGTCGATGCATTATTCCCAGCTCATCACTCCGCTCTAGTAGAAAGTTGACTCCATCAATGAATGGTCAAGTCTCTTGGACTCACCCAAGACTTTGTCTTCCCAAATCATTTTCCTAGATTATAGTGATAATTCTTCTCGGACAGGACCTATCCGTATAGCAAAATCCAAATTATAGACCCGTCAAGATGGCTCGGGTGGGCCATACCGTAGATTTGAACTTTGTTCTAATAACTATTCGATATATGGGGTTAGTTGATGAAGAGAATCGGCTCGGTCCCATAGCGAAATCAACTAGCCCATTGGGTTGCCAAGGAAGTAGATCCCGTGATACGTTACGGTAGTGTAACGTTACTTTCGAGAAAAGAATTTTATATAAATAATTTTATGTAATTATATTCGAAATTAGTGAATTATGATCATCATACAATAGTGGATGTAGACACATTGTCGAACCAATTAAGTGTATCGAATTTTACTGCCCACAAAACATAGCTAATACAATCCGATTCGAGCGACAAGCCGGCCCATGCGCCTCTATGAGGAAGCATCCTTCTGGATGCAGGGGAACACAATTATAATTAAGTAGACTAAAGAAATTTCTTTATCATCATGCCAAGAGAATTTTAGCCGCCGAAGACATTTCTTAGCACTTTCTCAGAAACAAGTCTTGGATGAAATGGACAATTATTGGAATACTTTGTATCCCACTGCTTTCTCTTTTTTGTCACGATATGCCCCCATAAAATTTTCTTGATTTTGTTTATGATAATGTTCTTTAAAATGGATTTTATTTCTAAATTTAAAAAAATGGACGTTCTTATTTGTCATTTTTTATCTAGGAATTTTATCTTTAAATTAGAAGTTAACGTCACGAAAATTTATTTTTGTCATAGCAAACATCTAATGCACGATGATTTATATTTTTTGAATTCCTTTTTTTTATTTTTTATGAGAGAGTATTATACGACCAAAAAGTACGAAAAATATTTGACGCATATGTGTACGCATGGATGGAGAATTTAAAGTCAATTTATTATGACCTGTGAATAGGCGTAATTTAAACTTCGCATTTATATATAGAGATTAAATATAAATCTTTCATTGCTCGTGGGATTGAAAAATTACTAACAAGAAGTTCAGCACGTAAAATAACATAAATCCACACACACACACACACACACACATATATATATATATTCAAAATTTAAGTGCATGTTTGGTTTGGATTAAAATCTGATTTTAATTTAAGTCAAAGTAAAATAATCAATATGAATCGCATTTTTTATGGGTCTCACAACTTTTCAACCGCACATTTCAAAAAAAAAACTATCACAATTTACAAAAAAAATTTGATTTTAATCTCCACCAAACATCCTCTAAATACTGTGATTTGATAATAACCCCACAAATTTCCCGTTAAAAACGGAATAATTGCGGATAGATTAGAAAGATATGCATCATGACTTGACCCAATTGGATCTATCAATTTATGTGACGTTGCATGATGGCATCATCAAACAGTCACATAATGCCACGTGGATTCATGAGGAACCTTCATGTAACATTCCAGGAAAGAGTTGATGAAGCTGCAAAGCTAAAAGAAAACAAAAATTAAATTTTAGATTAACAAATAAAAATAATAATAAAAAGGGTAAAGGGATACTAATTCTCAGAAGACTTGCCATTTCCACATTATCAAAAATTCCCACATTCAACTCCACAATGGATACTAATTTTCATCAAAACCCTAACCCTAATCAAGAAATTACCAATCAGCAGTTTGATGATTCATTACATTTTGAAGTCTCAGATTATTACACGTTTGAAGATGGCTTTGAAGAAGATATTTTCTCGAAAAATATGGTCATCCCAGCTGAAAACATCGTCAATGAAACTTCGAATTCAAGTCGAGTGGCGAATAACATGCAAGTCCAAACTCAACCCTAAATTTTCTTGATTCTTGTTCATTTTATTTTATTTTTTTTGCTTGATTTAGATAGAACATCTAGTTAGGAAATTATTTATTTGTTTGGTTTGTTTTATTGAAAGGTTACATAGAACAAGAGAGAAGAAATACAAGTCGCAGAGCGAGTTTAGGTTCGTGTTTATAACCAAATCAAATATGGAAATCATGGATGATGGATTTAAGTGGAGAAAATATGGGAAAAAGGTGATCAAGAACAGCCCGAATCCGAGGTAATTCATTGTGCATATTCATTTTATCTTTTCTCTATTTTTTTTCCTTTTCAAATTAGCTTATAGTGCCTTATTGAAAGTGCTGTTAATAATGATAACAAGATTAACAGCATTCCATTTAGCATATGGGAGAGATAAATTTAAAATAAAAAACTAGTGATTCTTCACTTATTTTGACAGATCATTTCATTCTGATTTTGAAATAAGTACTTTAAAATAGATAGCCAACTAGCTACAATTGAGAGGCATTAATTAAAGTCTCATTTATCATTATCTCATGATAAATTTATATTTATTTCTAATTATTGAATAAATTTCACATTGGTTAAATATTGAAATATATATCAACATATAAATGTTTGAATTACTCATTTTAATAAAGTTGACATTTTAAAATAGAATCTCAAATCTTCAAACTCTTATTCGTGACAAATACACATTGTTCTTATTCACTTCCTAGTCACATTAACATCATACTTTATTCTTATTTCATGCTTGCATAAGTATTTTTCTTTTATGATTTTGTAGTATAAAATGAGCCGATCATCCACTCTGGTCAATCATTGAAATCAAAGGGTAATAATAATCCTCCATTGATCTGTAATTTTTTATTTTTGTGAAGTAGGGATTGCATGCAAGAATATGGAAAATTTTCTTAAAACTTGATATGACACCTTTCTAGTTCAGTACTTTCGAATTTAGGAGGTCGCTCTAATCATTGTTAAATTGATTATAACATGTCAAAAATCGATTCATCTAAAAATGATCAAATTGTTAGAACATAAGGCAATTTATTTATTTTATTTAAATTGTCCTCTACTCATCCAAGCAGACATGTCAAAGTAATTTCAAAAAAGGTCCATTATACGTATTATAACGATCCGCTTCTATATCCGAACCATTATACATACATACTGTCCGTTTTGAAAGATATCGAACATATTTTATCCTTTATGAATTTTTATTGCTTCTGCTATATCTTATGAGAAAGTCAAGTCCAATATTGGTACCATTTGAGTAACTTGCTCAACTGGTACTAGGATTCAACTTAAACCTCTCATAGAGCTGAGGTACTGAGTTGAATCCTGGAGAATATAATAAAAATTCGTGTAGGATAAGATAGGCAACAGCTCTTCCAAAGCAAACAGTCTTATGATCGAACGGCTTGGGCTTAGGGCCATATCGATCGATCGATCTATGTGTGGTTGTGTCGACATAATGATTTAAACTTAGGATAATTATTTACTTTGATACAATGTTAAACCATAACTCTATAAAACATATATATATGTAACTCTTAACAAAGCTGTAAAATATGTAACCTTTTTAATTATTAATAAAAAAATAACTTAAACTCTTCAAGAAACAAACCTCTTAAGTAAATACTTACTTTTTTTTAGCTTATCCAAACGTTCTAGCATCCATTTATTGGCTGCCAGTTACGAGTAGGCTTTCTTAATCACTCGTTCACCGTATCCACACAATCTGTCTATCTATATATCAACTTGGACCTTTTCTTTTCTACTTGAATAATGACTTCAAAAACCAAAAAAAAAAAAAAACACTGTTTAAGGTTTTGGCATCACAGAAGCCACTTGGTATGTGGCTGAACGACTGCCATTAATATATTAACCTCCTTTTTCCTACCTGTTCAGATTGCCCTATCAAACAAACCACCAGGGTTTCTAAAGAAAAAAATATTATATTTTATTAGATGAGATTTTTAACTTTTTTTTTCTACTTTTTGTTCCGTATAATCTAACGTATCAAACAAATCATCAAGACTTTGAAGGGAAATTCTAAGTTGTACTTGTATAGTCTACTTTGCTGTTCCGTATTGTATAGTCTAACTTTTTTTCTACTTTGTTGTTCCGTATTAATATATGTATGTAGCGCAAAATTGAGCGACAAACTTTTTGGGTCCACCCTCCACCCAAAATATGAAGAATTTTCGCAATGCTGAACTTTGATCGCTTCTCATTGTCATTTCTGCCAAGTTTTTTTTATGGGAAATATAAAATCGCTTGTGTTTAGAGTTTGACATGGTCCCCTATCTGTTTATTTAAACGATCGAGTAAAGAAGTACAAGATAGCGGACATAAAGTTGGACCTCCGAATTTTTCAAAATTTATTTTGACACAAAGTGGTTCTCCTTGATGAACAGGAACTACTTTAAATGCTCAAATGATGGGTGCAATGTGAAGAAAAGGGTGGAAAGGGATAGGGAAGACCCAAGATATGTGATAACAACCTATGAAGGAGTGCACAACCATGAAAGCCCCAATTATGTGGTCAATTGCAATAACCAAATGCCTACTCATGAATGGACTTTACACCAACCTTCATCTCTCTCTTTCTCTTCTGCTTCTGTACTGTAACTATGACTTGTTCAGTGCCATGGATCTGTTGAGGACTATCGATTTGGCCGCTGCTATCGACTGACCCCTAGTCAAAGGTGGCAGATGGTTTCACTTTCGGCGGAAAACTTTTTTTCCTGTGGAAAGCACTGTCACAGATAGTTCTTTTTCCTTGCCTTGGAACTGGAACAATATAATATAAAGAAGAATAATCTGTTGCTAGATTTTATAATATTAAAACAGGAACTTAATTCTGGTATATTGATGTTATAGTTATTATGACTTTTTACAATTAGAATTTGTAAGGAAAGATAATATTCCCACATCTTCCTCTTTAGAATCCTCAAACTATGGTTCTTAATTGCGTGATTGTATATATTTCATGTGTTTTAGTTCTTCACTGATACTTAGGAACTAAAGACAGCTTTTCCTTTAATGCTTATATTCATAATCAATGGAAATATACATACCTTTCATAACACATTATATAATTCACGATCCTGAAATTCTTTTTCCCCCCCTTTTAACTGTTGGTGATGATAATTTTACCATATTCCGAACCAACGCTTCATCAGATCCCCATCCAATCAGAAAAATCAAAAAGCCATAGTATATATACATATAGTTATTCTGGAGTACAAAAGAAATCTTGTAGGTTTAGATATTTTTCGACTTGAAATTGGCTTTGTATACCCTATTAAGTTTGCCAACTGTAGAGTAAATCATAGCCTAAAATTTATAATTATGGTCAGGGCGGACGGGGGAATTATAGATCCGCCATTGATTATGGTTGTAAACTTAGACAATAGAACACACACGAATTCTAAGACAATAAGTGAGTTTCACTATTGTGCTCGTTTTGGCTATGAACTTTCTTAGTTTCTTTGAATGCTAAAGAAAATTAGCCTCAATTCTCATACGAAGCGATTTCACTTCCACACTCAAATAAATGCTTCTATCAAGAGTGCAATGTATCTAAGCACCCCATTGATAATGGGTATAGGAAACATCAAGAGCCTTAGCTCATCATCCAATCAATACATTAGGTATTATATAATAGGGAGGGGCTTGAATTTTGTCAGTGGGATTTTTAGTCGTAAGGTAGGATTTCAATTATAGATTTCTAATAGACACCAACCCCATCCACTTTAATGTTTTTCTGAGCTAACTCTCTAGTTAGTCCTTTGATTAATGGGTCAACAATATTTTTCTTTTGATTTCCCATAGTCAATAGCTATGGCTCGATCCGTTGATTAATGGGGTTGAAAATTAATTATTAATTTTTACTCAATTTTTATCAACTTTTAAGCAAAAGCAAATAAAGCATTAAAATGAAGTCAAAATTCTAGAAAAAGGACTCACCACATAAGTTTCCTAGAAATTGATATTCTATGCATTCACAATGCCGTGACACAACGAACTTTCTGCCACTTAAAAATGAATTCTGCTACATGTACAGAATAATTTTTTATAGATTCTTTACAGAATACATATAGCATGAGGTGGATGAGTTATTTTTTGGATTATTTTATTTACATGGGGTCCACTTCCCATGTGAATATCTGGAAAACTTCTGTAGGAGGAAATTCTGTACACAGAATTTTCCTTTAAAAATAGTTTTACAGCCTGTTTGGGAGTGATTTTTTTACCTAAAAAATTGATTTTTTCATCGTCATTTTACTATTCCAATCATTATATTTGACTTCTTCTCTCACAAATGGATTCCACTTTTCTCCTAACGGTCAAAAAATCAATTATCAAAATCACTCTCAAACGGACTCTTAATTCTTTTTGTGGATTCAAATATTTTCTAGAAAATAAATTTAAAATATATTAACTATTATCGACTATATATAGGCGAAGAGCTAATAGTCAATTAACTTGTTTAACCCACTTTACCATATCAAGTAGTGAGTTATAAAGTAAACTTTGACACAGTTTTTTGTTAGTGATTTTATTACACGACAATTCTATAGCAATGTTCACGAAACTTGTTAGGCTAGAAAATAAACGGTTTGCTACATGTAAATATTAAATTTACATATACATTAGGTGGTGAGACCAAAAATCAGAACCAAACGAGGGCTGTGTAATTATTTATGTACAAGTAATATTATTCGAGAATAAAATCGGGTTTTGAATTACTATTTAAAACGGAACATATTATATTTAGATGTCAAATTTTCTCTTATCATCTCTAAATTTCAACATATTTTTTAAGGCATTTTTAAGTTCGATTATACCAATATACATATGCCACTCTCTTTTCTACTTATTGCATTCTTAAATGAATGTCACGCTTTTTTCTTTTTTCTTTTTGAAACGTCAAGAGTCCATTCAACATTTTATTAGTGTACTGATAATTTAAGTAACGGGAATAGACAAAATAATTGAAGTTCGTAAGATTTGATTCAAATATTTTTAAATAAACAAATAGCTTAGCTAAAATTTCACTGTAAATTTAGTAAATATCAATATATTTAGCCATGCGTTACAACGGTCAACATAACAATGTTATAAGAATTGGACAAGATCAATTGATTCTATCGAAAAAATTGAGAATCCATTTGAAATAAACAAAAAATATAAGACGATTCACAAACTCAAACTGTTGCATCATTTTGTTTCATTTAATAATTTTGACCACCAAAAATTTAACTATTAAGTCCTGTTTTGTGAAAATTAAAATTAAATTTTTTTTTTTTTTGAATTTCATGAAATTTATTGTTAAAATTAATTTCTAACTTTGATTTAGATTAAGATATCTAGTGTTTAACCTTTTTTATCTTTTTGAGTTGGACCATTTTCGAAACATTGCCAAAGAATTGGGTTAAATTGCTACTTGTACAGCGCGCGAGGTAATCTAACGACATATCAAACCAATTTTTCTCATTTTGTTTTAATTTCAAACTTCTTCACATTTGCCCTTCAGATCACTCCTTCATCTCTGTCATTTCGTAATGCACAACACCCCAAGATTTGTTTAAATACTATAGTACCACAATATTTTAAGCATTTTCTTTCAGATCTTATTTCCTTCTATTTTGAGCATTTTTTTTATGTGGATTTATAATGCTGGATTATTGAAATTGAATCTTGCCATTTTCTTATTCTGGGCTTGATATTGGTTTTTACGCTGGAATATAAAAGATCAACTTTGAGAAAGTGCTGGATTTCGGAGATATAAGTGTATTTATTTATGGGACTTGAGTAAATAGTGTGGTGAAATTTTGTGGGCATTTGCAAATTTTCTTGGTGGGTAATTTTCTTGGGGTTGGAGGAAAGAAATATGTTTTGGAGCGAAAAGGAAAGGGAGAACAATGGGAATGGCGGACCTCCTTGTGGGCAAGTTAGAGTGCTTGTTGTTGGAGATTCAGGTAACTTAAATCCTATTGTTTTGTGAATTTTACCCTAATCTTCATATATGGATTAATAAATTTGTTCAATTTGGCTGTTGTGAGGGTGGTGGAAGCCACCGACATTGTTATCCATACATACACCTTGCCATATTGTATTACGTGTAAGAGAGAAACAGTGAGAATTGAGAGAGTGAAGAGAGAATTAGTGGAGATAGTGAGTGGGAAGTTCTTTGATCTGGTAAAAATAATTAGTGAGGTATCCTAGTGCGTTTGTTTAATGTCCATATTAAATTGAACAATTGAAAGTGTTTCATTACAAAATAAATTTTATTTTCTTTTTGGGTTCAAATTTAACATGGACTTCCTGTTTCTTGCTTAATGGAGACTTAGTGTCATTACGGTTCTATGTTGGAGATAGAATTAAACAGAAAATGCTATTGGTGGATGTTTTATAGGAAAATTTAATTGCATTAACCTTCTTACTGCATTTTATCAGGTTACAGCTCATAGACATTTGGCTGATTTCAAGGGTGAAAATCTTAATAGGGATCTAAAATAGTGTTGGAGGTGACTGGGCTATCTCCATTTTAGAGAAAAATTAGTCTTCACTGCTCCTTAGAAAATACGCGGTGTCATCACTGTTCATCGAACTAAAATTGAGATTAGATGTTAATTTGATTTCTATTTACTGCGTGTATTATTACATTATTGTTTGAATTCTGTCATCCTGCTTTCTTCATTTTTCCCTGCATTCAGAAATATTACCGTGTTGCTTACATGGCTGGACCAATTTTTAATTAGCTGGATGACACATTCATCAACAGAGGTGAGTATTCATGTGTTCTAGGTCCAATTGTGCATAATTTTGTAGTTAATTCAAGTTGAATTGAAGATGAAATGAAATGTGGATATATCAACTCTAAAATTATCCATCATGAACTCATTCTTTCAAGTTGTATGGTGAGGTTAAGTAGTGTGTTGCAGTGAAAAGACAACACAATGAACAAATAATTTGTAATAGGCTATGCCACTTTGACAGAAAATCATTGACAGATGGAGTGACATAATGTTAGTTGGCAAGATGTGATTTGATGAAAAAGACGTCTGTGTCTAGAACAGTCTAATGATATAGTGCCATGTGTTATTATGTTAACCATTATATCAATGTAGCATAATTCATTTGTAATTTGCACCACCAAATCCTCAAACTCTAGCTCACCAAAAGATGGATGGCCTGATGAAAACTCTGGAAAAATGACAAAAAAAGTAAAGTAGGCAAGAGAGAGAAGTGGCTGGGTTTATGTTTTCATGGGTATGCATTATTGACTTAGGAAAGGTTTGGATTAACTTTGTCTCAAAAATTTAAAAAAATTTCCATGCCATTTAACTAGCTTTTTATCCGACAAAAGAAATATAAAAGGCAATCCTGAAGAGAAATAAAAGGGAAGGCAAACCCTAAGTAGGAATGCAAATGGATTATTTACAATGGAGTTAGTTTTATTCTTTCATTTACATTAGATTTAGTTTTAATTTTCGTCTTATAGAGCTGCTTTTTAGTGTTAGATACATCTATTCTAACTTCGTGGGCAAAAATCTCTGGTAATTTTCAATTAGTAGAGTCCTGTTCTTGTAAAACATTTGAGGGGCCAGCCGGCCAGCCATAAAATTATTTACAACTGACATGAAATATTTTATGAAGAAGAAATTTTAGGCCCTCTTTTTTTCTGGGTCAAGGGGAGCCCACCATAGTTTACAATTTTATCTGCCTCCGTTCCTTGCACAACCATTGTCCCTCTGTTTGTGATCTTGCGACCAGCAATATGTGAATGCATGGTAGTGAGAAGAAATAATAGACTTGATTCATTTGATTAATATCTGCAGGGGGCAAGGCTTGAAGTATTTAATGCTTGAATGGATAATACTTATGAGCTTAGAAATAAAATCTCGGAGTTGATTAATAACGTGCATGAGAATTACAGAGGAAGGGTAAAAAGTTTTGGTTGAATAGGTACCTGATGCTTTACTTTATGTTATAGAAAATATGTGATTTGGAACTTGTATGATAATCAATAGGATTTAAGCACCTGCTGGTGAATTATTATCTCTTCAATTTAAAATGAAATAATTGAACGGTGATGTTAGATATTATTATAAATAGTAATTTCTGTAGTACAGAAATTATACAGTGTAAATATAATATTTATAAATTCTGGACAACAAGGACCATATGTGAAGGAGTAACGTAAGTTCTAGGCAGAAGGCTTTGCCTGCAGCATAGTTGGTCAGGTTGGATTATGATGGAAGTTGTGGGAAGGATCTTGGAGATCATAGGAAATGGTTTCAGTTGTATTTGATAAAATGCAGAAAGAGTACCGCAAGATTTTTAGTGCTCGGGTAAACACGTAAATGTAAAGGTATACAAATTGGTTAGGATCGAGTATGGTGGTCACTTTGAAGGACGTTGGAGACTTGGAGTAAAAGAAATGGTTTTGAGACAGAGGGGTTTTGCAGTTTACACTTGCAATGAACTGTATCCCAGAGGAATGATTGTTATATAAGCAGATGCTCATTGGTTTTTTTCTATTTCATGTCTATGCAGAGATCTATAATATAAAAATTAAAAAATATCAACCTAGTAAGCACAATTCTTGGATTTCATGATTTTCCTGTAGATTGTAGCTGCTATGTGCTGCAATGTCCCCATGCATTTTTTGTAATATTAGAATTTTGTGTTTATGTATTCTAAGAGCCTTTTTTGAGCATTGTTCCAGACAGATCCAAAATGCCATTTTTCGGTAATCTTGTCAAGTGATTGTGAATTTTTTACTGCACATGGGTCCATATTTCAGACAAGTGAAACAGTGCATTTGTTGCGCTACTAGAATGTTTTTGACACCATTTTTGTTCTTCAGTCTGAAATAAATAAATAAATGTGTTTTTGCTCTTTTCAACACTGTATATGTATTTGTTTACTGAAAACAAACCAAGAAACCCAGCAAATAAATGTTCTTTGTTTTGATATGCAAGTCTATTTGGAAAACATAAAACAATGTACAAAAATACGGGGAAGGTTAATGTTCGAACTCTGCTGAGCATAATTTGATGTTCAAATTCTAGGTTTGTGCGGTAGAACTTTTAGCTATGTTTCATATAATAGTTTATAAACTAGCTATGTCAAATAATCTTATCTGATATTTCATCGACAGTGAAATCCATATTGAACTTCCAATCTTCTTGTAGGTGTCGGCAAGACTTCTCTCGTTCATCTGATTTTGACAGGTTCTTCTATTGCTCGCCCTCCTCAAACAATTGGCTGTGTGGTTGGCATCAAGGTGAGACATCTGCTTGTTCATCACAATTAATTGATAGCTAAAACTAGGGTACTGCACATTGGGAAGTGATTATAGTCGGTTTAAAATATAAACAGATGTAAATGAGTGGTGGATAAGTTGGTAGTACTTGTAGGTCTATGAAATGTGTGGATAAGAAATAGGTTTGATCGATTATGAACAATGCCAAACAAGCTTTTATATCTTCGATGATCTTTTCCTGTGCCTTTAATGCAGCATACTACATATGGAACTTCTGGTAGCTCCTCAAAGAGCATCAAAGGTGATGTACAGAGAGATTTTTTTATTGAACTTTGGGATATATCAGGGCATGAACGATACAAAGATTGCCGGTCCCTGTTCTATTCACAAATCAATGGTAAATTAAGAGCCTTCTGCTGGTTCCAAATGAAATTATGCTTGAATTTCCTAGCATTTTAATTGTGATATCGTTGAGCATGAGCCTTTCTCACTCACCTGAACTTTGATTTAGGTGTAATGTTTGTGCATGATCTTTCACAAAGGAGGACGAAGACAAGCTTGCAGAAGTGGGCTTCAGAGATTGCAGCAATGGGGACATTCTCGGCTCCTTTATCGTCTGGAGGTCCAGGTGGCCTTCCTGTTCCCTACATAGTTATCGGCAACAAAGCAGATATTGCTACAAAAAAGAGTACAATAGGGAGCAGTGGAAATCTTGTTGATGTTGCTCGCCAGTGGGTTGAGAAGCAAGGATTACTTCGATCGAGTGAGGAACTCCCATTGACGGAGAGTTTCCCAGGCAGTGGAGGCCTTTTAGCAGTAAGATTGATTAGGAAATAACTTAGTATTCAGAGTGAGCATTGTTGGTTCAGAATTACAGCTGCTAAACCATACATTTGTGACTGTCTTGCTGACATACATAGCATGTTTCAAAGGGAAGATTGGATAGCACTGCACAATAATAATTAGAAAAGAAATCTAAAATCTTGTTCATTATATTTTGTAGTTGTATACAATACTGTGTACTAAATTAAAAGAAAGAGTAAATGCCATTACAGGTAGTGTTAAAAGTGAATCTTATGATGTTTTTTATTATTATGATTCATCTAAATGTTTAGGTTGATAGATAAATTCACATTAATATCATTTAAATATAGTATTCAACAATCCCCCCAACGTGTATGTGGGGTTTATATGTCCTTTGAAAGCTAACATGTACAATTTCTTTAAAATGGGTGACGGTGAAATTTGAACCCTAGATATTTGCATACTCTGTTAACCATTTTGACTTGAAAGCTTAAGGTGTTAGATAAGATCATATGTATTTAATTTAAATATCGTCTTTAATGAATGTTTTTTGCAGTATCACTTGATCTAAAAGTTTAAGGTGTTAGATAAGATTGCTTATTTTGTATATCCTTATCTAACATCAATTGTCTTTTGATGGGTACAGGCTGCTAAAGAAGCGAGATACGATAAAGAAGCTTTGATGAAATTTTTTCAAGTGGTCCGTTTTTCCCCTTCTACACTGAGCTTCAAATTCCCTATGGCACTATGATAAAACTGTATGTTTTATGCAGTTGATCCGGCGAAGATACTTTTCAGATGAATTGCCAGGCGCCAGCCATTGGTCTACCTCAATTCACAGGCCATTGGGACAATCAAGTGAAATTTCGAGTGATGAGGATCAGCAGAACATGAATTCCAGGTATGATGTGAAAAACAATGCTGAGGAAACTTTGGTATATTTCTTCGATACAAGCTTATGAATTATTCTTGCATAATATGATGCATAATCAAAATGAAATATTCAAGTTATCCCAGTTTTTAGCTATTAGCACTTCACATATTATGGCGGCTTTCTGTAGCTGTTCAAAATTTCAACCTCGAGTGTCATGTTCTTATGAGGAACGAAATACACTTTGAACGAGCATCAGTGACCATTGATATAAGAAGCATGAAATTTCTAAAAATAATAAAATCGCCGAAGGATATTTTGTTAACCTTGTTCAATTATTTTCTGCATCTCCTTTCAATTGCAGTTTGATTGGCGACCAGTACATGTACAAAGCGCTTCCTCCGCTACCGGCTCAGCACAACTTGACGCCACCTCCCACACTTTATCCACAGAAGCCGATGTCAACCCCGGACAATTATAACATCCCTCGATTTGCATTGACGGGCTACCAAGAGATAAGTGGGTCGAGATCAAAGCGTACGGATATTAATGTATGAAGATCTCAATACTTATTCAGTTGGCTAAATATCTCTCTCAGACATACAGTATACTGGCATAATGTGTTTTCAGAGATGAACTTACATTCATTTTTTTGAGCCCCGTCGAGGCTCTCTGGTTAGTACGTGTTGAAATGTGTAAAATTTCTTTGTGTAGCACGGAACACCATTCAATTGTTAACTTTGATTTTGATTTTCAGGTTTCTAACCACGACTTTGGTCTTTTTTGGATAATTCAAAAAGATGGTTTTACTCTAACAATACGATGAAAATTTTTTTTTGCCATCAGAAAAAAAAGTAGTCCGATTCCTATTAATGTTGAAACTTAAAGTGGAACAAAAGTTGCGATTCACGCACATTGATCCCGGATTTTTTTAACTCTTTTTGAGAGAAGACAATTAAAAAAGAAAAGAAAAAGGAAGCTTTTTATTGACAACAAAGCAATCAACAGCTTTATAGTAGTAATTCTTTTCTCAAAAAGCTCTATAGGTAAAAAAATTTACTCATAACAAATGTGCCTATGGACTCTCTACTTTGTACGAGTTGGAATGTCCAACTGTCATTTTCCTATTAAAAGATCAGCCATGACCATGACAAGACAAAACATGCAAAGGTGACATAAATTTATCAAGAACCCGTAACCACCAATCATTCTTTTTTCCGAACATATTTGGCCATTTAGGATCTAGTTTTAATTTTTAATTTTTAATTTTTTTGATATTTTAATCATCATCCTCATCCCGTCCCCGTCGTACCTCTCAGAAATATCCGAGAGGTGTCACTTGAACGGTTGAACATGAGGGTAGACCTATCTCGTAAGGAAATCTCAAGATAAATTATCAAACTTGATCAACTCTCCTATTAGCTAAGAAAAGTGGTTACACGACCCCTCAGGGCATAGTCTAGTAGTACAAAGGACATGAGTGAGGTTATCTCACGCCTTACTGGCAGCCGCAGTGTGGGGGTTCGATTCCTGAAATATGGAATTGGACTCCTTATAGACGCAGTGTACAAACAGTTCTTATTCCTTGGCCTGTTGGGACACATCCCGCGATTTACCTTCCTCACAAAACTCTAGGGACAGGACGGTGGAGGCTTTCAAGATTGGGGTCCAACCTTTAAAAAAAAGTGGTTACATGTCCGCAGAGGTTTTCTTGTCTGATTTTGCTCTTTCAACTTTAAAGTCTCTCTCCATATTCTTCATTTAGTCAATCTTTACGTTGTTCGATTCAAAAACCAAGGCAAAACCATTTGTTGGGGGGGAAAAAAGGGTTATTATTTCGGGTAATTGGCGCAAAACGTCCCTACCCTTCAACTTCATTGTGTAAAACGTCCTCACCTTTCATTTTTTGGCATTTTTGCCCTCAAATCAACCTTTCGTTGCGATGAAGGTCCTTCCGTCCAATTGCCATCCATTTTGCCGTTAATTAAAGAGAGAGACTCAATTTCTTGCTGGTCAACCGGGGTAAAATCTTCCTCACCCAACTGAACCCTTCATTTTCATCTTTTTCTTCGAACAACAAGAGGCAGTTCCCATTCCATTCCCTTCTAGTTCTTCAAAAATTTCCATTTGTCTTCCATTTCTATAATTTTTCCTCCATTCTCCTCTCGTATGGGCGCATATCAGCAGTCGGCGTAGTGAAAACCTACATTGAGAGTTTTTCCAACAAGCGACGCGACGGTAAGAATCATTATTTGTCGGTATTTTCGTTTTCCATTTCATATTTTGGTGCTTTGCATGATTGAGTGTATGTGTAGGATTTTGACAAAGTTTATTATAATTACAAAGGATTTCAAGGAACAACATGTTTCTTTCGTTTCTGAGAAAGCCCGGCAATGATCAACCCACCTCCAGCACCTTGTTAGGATGAAAACTCTCTGCCAAGTTCTATTAATTTTTTGGCTTTTGTTTTTGTTGTTCAGTGCACAAATTGTCATCAGGTAGTGGATACAATATAGCACTTTAGGAACCTATTTTTGGTGTTTAGGAACCTATTTTTGATGTTCAGAACTTATGTTGGCTGCAGAGTGGATATTTTGCACATTTGAAATGAATTGTATCTATTTTTGCTTCAGTTTTCGTTTATCTTAACTTCAACAGGTAGTGGTTATTTTTGTTTCAATTTTCGGTCAATTGGTGGATGAATTGTGCTCAAATTCTGTGATAGAATTGTATATTTGGGGACTTTTGAGTTGGTGTGTATCAACAGTTGGTATATGGAAGAAAACAGGGTACGCTCTCACCAAAATTTTTAATTCTGTGATAGAATTGTATATTTGGGGACTTTTGAGTTGGTGTGTATCAACAGGTGGTATATGGAAGAAAACAGGGTACGCTCTCACCAAAATTTTTTAAAAAGGTATGGACGTCAATCGCCAATACTTTTTATAGGTAGGGATGTCTTAAGAAAAATTATAACTACGTAGGGATTATTAACGCAATGTTCATTAGATTCCCAAAAAAAGTGAACAGGACCCGTCATCTTCACCAATAAGCCAAAATGAGCCAGTACCACTGAAATGATAAATACACAGCACCCATTTCCACTTGATCTTCGCCATTTACCCCATGGTCACAATAAGCATAAACTAGAAATGAAAACCTAGTAGTTGTCTCTATAAATTGACCACCCATTCAATACATGTCTTGCTACATTTTTCTAGAAACCCAACATTAGAGCAGCAATGGTAGACCTGGTGGTTGGATTTCACCATATATGTTCTTCACGACAGTTTTTTCCTTCATTTAATATAATAATTTAAAATATTTTCACACCCATTTTTCAGCTACTGTTACTATGTGGACTACGTAGAGGGCGGTAAGAAGGGTTCAGTTGGGTGAGGACTATTTTACCCCTGTTGACCAGCAAGAAATTGAGTCTCTCTCTTTAATTAACGGCAAAATGGATGACAATTGGACGGAAGGACCTTCATCGCAGCGAAAGGTTGATTTGAGGGCAAAAATGCCAAAAAATGAAAGGTGAGGACGTTTTACACAATGAAGTTGAAAGGTAGGGACGTT